TATATATATATATATCTTTTTTTTATCAGATAATCAGCATACAATGAATGAAAAAGTAGCAACATTAATGGAACGATATGATAGGGCCTTATGCTTACTGAAGAGTTTGTTTCAAAGTATGTTGTGCTGTGTGGAGCCCGGTTAAAAAAAATATATATATATGTTTCGCCTAAGTGCCCCGTTCCGCCTTTCTGCCTTTGCATCTTCCCATTTTTCGCGAATCAATTTCCCTATCTCCCATCGTCTCCGCCTCCTGCAATTCACACCCGTCTCCACCTCTCTTGCTTGCGAAACATAAGTTCGACGATTCTTCTCTCTCGCTCGCTGCAGTTCGCCCCTCCCGTCACGTTCGTGAAACAGGAAAGGAGATTTCTCCTTGGATTCTTCTTGAGGCTTACGGGAAGCAGAAGACAGAAAAAGGTATTTTTCGCAAGGTGCTTTTACTTAGTTATTTTGCGTGCTTGGCTGAAGGAAGAAGAATATAGTTGGAGAAGAAGGTTGTTCTTCTTGATTTCTTCTTGGTGGCTTTTGGAAGAAGAGAAATAGGTTTTTTTCTCTTGTACGTATTTCTTCATCATCTTTAGTGTATCTCGGTGTAGAGAGAGAAGAGTGAAGAAGTGAGAGAGAGAGAAGTTTCTCTTGTAATTGTCGAAGAGATCGCCTGGTATAATTTTATCAATTAATAAAATCCTCAGCAAATCCGTGGTTGTCGAACCACGTCAATCTGTGTGTGTTCTTTTGATGTGAATTTTTCTCGTTCTATTTTTTGCTTCGTCGTTGATCGTTTTAAATTTTCAATATACCACAACATGTTGGAGGCAAAATATGTCCACTTCGTGTTTCTAGCGAGACAACGTTAGAAATGTTAAAGACAAAAATTATTCAATCATTGAAGTATGATAGCTCAAATTTCATGGCGAACATAATGTATTATTTTCCTGTAGAAGAAGTTACATAAATTATTTTAAAGATGACAAGTAACAAATCATTGGTTACTTATGTTGAACTTGTTACTCTTCCCCTTGATGAATGAAACTATGTTCACACAACAGTTTGAAGTGGGGGTTCTGATGTTCATAAGACTTGAGAATGATGCGGCATATAAGTATTAAACTAGTTCAATCAATTTATCTTTTATCTCCTAAATAATCAATACACACTAATATCTTAAAATAGTTATCTTTATTTTTCTAGGGTAATGGTTCTAACTATTAACACAAATATAACGAGCACATCAACACAACACTTCGGTGATAAATTTAACATGATTAGCACATATATTCCCACCATCAGAATTCCTGAGGACTATGACACAATGCACATTCAACTTAGTGAGTACTTTAGTAGTAGTGATAGTTTTTCAGATATTAAGAACACTGTAGAATTAGATAATCAAGCTTTTTTAGATCATGAATTAATACAACAACACACTTTAGTTAACTCACGTATAACTGGTCAAATGATGTCTATAAATGAGTGTGTTCAATACTATCAAACTACACAAGAGTGGGATCAAAATATTGATTTAGATAGTCCTTCTGAGAAGACAATAATATTTCAGGAATGTTATATATCAGATGAGTTAGTAGCATATATGTTCTTTCCAAATAAGATTAAACTACAATTTGCATTATATGTTTGTTTATTAAGATAATGTAGAGTATAAGATTGTTTCTTCGAACAAAAGTAGATACATTGGATATATCATGTTATTCCATGTAGCCCTTATCATTGGTGATTACATGCATCAAGTAGGAAGCATTTCTGAGGGCCTTGGAGAATCTCAAGTGTACTTGCTCCACACACATTCACACATCCAATATTAATGGGAGGTCACAACCAATGTATATCAAGATTTATAAGTTATTTCATATTACTTTGTATCTGCTAACAATTTAATTTAAAACCAAAAGAGCTTATAGGAAGGGTAGAATCCAGGTTTAATGTTAAGGTTCATATATGAAAGCATGGGATGCAAGTAAGAAGGAAGACAATCAAAAATGTATTTGGTAGTTGAGATGAGTCATATGAATCTCTTTAAAGGTTTATGGAAAAGGATTGGTGCATATAATATAAGTGAAAGGAACTAACCTTTTCAAATGTATCTTATAGGCGTTGGGTCCTTTAATTTGCGGGTGGACTTCAAATCAACAAATATTTAGTATGGATGAAACACTTTTACTAGGAAAATATAAGGGGACATTACTTACTGTAGTTAGAATTAATGCAATAATGATCTTTTTTTTGTTAGCATTTGCAATTGTCGAATATTAATGTTTTGAATCCTAGATATGGTTTTTACAAACCCTACACATTCGCAATTGTCGAATATTAATGTTTTGAATCTTAGATATGGTTTTTACAAACCCTACACAACAGTTTTCCGACGGATAATGATAGACATGATTTATGTATAACATCAGATAGACGTGTTAAATTAGTACGAGAATGCCAAGAAATTTTCCTTAAGCCGCTTATCAATATTATTTGAGACATATGAGAAAGAAATTCAAAAAAGTATTAAGAAAGATGAATATGTGCCAAAAAATGTACTTGGCAAGTAATGCTGATGAGATGTGAGTGTTTAACCATTGCAAGATTGGTATTTAAAATGTAAAGCCCTAAGCATATGCATGGCTAGCAAAAAGAGATTTTATGAAGTGAACATTGCACATGATTGAGGGTTCCATTATGGTACCGTGATGACTAATACTTCAGAATCTTCAAAGGCTTCCTTAAACTCATTAGAGGTTTATCCATCTAGACATTGATTTGTTATATATATTATAATTTGGTTGCTATTTTACTAAAGAGATTAAGTAGTGTGATTGACCTAGAAATTGCTAATGAATCACCATTTTCACCATGCATGAGGCACCAATCACAAATGCTTAAATGTGAGGCCTGTAGATTTCCCATTCCAACTTGTATCAATATGCATGAATTTGAGTTATTTGACACAATGCATCGTTCATCTCAACTTGAAATTGGAAGTAATGATAGTGCTACATGCCCTTGTCACCAAACATAGACCTATCACATACCATGTTCGCATGAAATTGTTGTCATGGGCTTGCATAGGTTGAATCATCTAAATTTTGTATCTCCCTCTTATATAGTTCATAGTTATAAGAAAATTTATGGTGCATAATTTGATGTTGTCCAAAAGAGAAAATCAATGGATATAATACAACCAAACTCTTGGAATCATAGAGCTCCTCCTCTCAAATTTTGGGCGACGAACAAGCAGAACAAGAACAAGATGTTATAGAAATACTATGGATGAGTCTAGAGCATATAGTAACATATTATTTTGTATTTGCACAACATCAAATCATAAGAGACCAACGAGTACACATATTTCACATAATATGAGGTATATATAGATCATAAACCCTTATGAAAATTAAAATTAAACTAAATTATAAACTAACTTGTGGTATAATGTGAAATGCTATGAATTTGTTCAATAATGATGCCAGATCCTAATATTTTTTCTACATTAGATATGTGTAAGATAAAATTTAAACTAAACAATGAACATGCCGTACTTAAAAATGTAATAAACATATTCATGCATTGGAAATGTGATATTTACATATGCAAAAATTAAAATTTAGGGGTTAGATATGTAAATAAGTAATAATTGAGTGGTGTATATATATATATATATATATATATATATATATATGTAAATCTTCGATAAATACGATATCGTCTGGAGAGTACTAAATTGCCCTTCACAGTTCATGTAGAGCCATGTCCTCTTGCAATTTTCCCGGGCTTCTCTCCCAACCTCACACCTTCGAACGGAAAACCATCCATCTCTCTGTCTCTCTCTCTCTCTGGTTTCCTCTCCAACTGAACAGTTCCAAAAATCTCACCTTTTTTTGTTTTTGCAGCAATCAAGCGATCTATTCTTAACAGAAATAATCCACTCCAATGTTCGATTAGGTGGGACAAATTTTTAGTTTTCTTCTCCAGCAATCTTCTTCTTCACACGCTCTCTCTCTCTGTATCTCTCTAGGGTTTCATCTTCTCTCCCAATTTCTGTCATCGGAGAAGCACGGCTCTCTGCTTCCGCGATCAGAACCACGCCAATCTCCTCTCCCACCTCTTCGATCTTCTCCCCAAATTTTCGAGGTGGGTAACCCTACGCAAACCCTAATTATTTCAGGAACACTGCGCTCCGGTGAGAGGGATGAGCTGACAAACTCGATCAGGATTTTGCGGGCCAAATTCATAGCCCTGGGGCGTGTAATGGTTCGATTCCTGAAGAGAAGACAGAGCTTGGACAAGCCTTCGCAGGATAAGAACATGTCCGACATGATAGGAAGGCAAGTTCCGAGCTTTACTGCTGAGCATGGAAGGATTAATGTGGATGATAAGTGGTTTAGGAGTCATGGAGCCATTGAAGAGCAGCAGATTCGGTCTGTGTTTGATCGGTCAGAGAACAGAACGCCCAAATTTAGGGTTGGGGAGGGTGGTTCTTGCCCTAGCTGCGGCGCCGGGCTGCGCGGGCAGCCTTCTGGTAATTTGTTTGTGGATTATTTAGGGTTTGGAAATTGATTTTATGGAGCTTTAAGTGCAAAATTTGGATTGTTTTGTAAATAGTGAGTTCTATGTTGAGATTTGGGATGGTTTTTGTTTTGAAAAGGGACCGGATTTTGTGTTGGGTGTGATTTTTTGTATTAGAAGGGGGGTGTTTGGTAATGCTTGGTAACATGATTTATCATCGGATTTATGCAATATAATCAAACACCATGTGGATATATAAATTTGAGCATTTAAGTTCTAAAATTTTGCATTCGATTCAGCTTAAATTCGAGTCTACTAAGGGTCCGTCTGGGGCAGCTTATAAGTGCGGAACGCCGCCGTACCGTTTGGTTCGCGCGTTTCGTCAGCTTATCCGAAACTGCGTTTGAGGTTTTACACTAAACGCAGGCCGCGGGTCGACCCCCGCGGCCGGCCTACGGGCCGCGTTTCAGGATAAACAGCTTATTCTGAAACGCACAAGCTGCCCCAAACGGACCCTAAGTCAAATAAGAGGTTGGATATGACGGATTACGATTTATAAATTTATTAAACTCTACAAAATGCTAAATTATGCTTGCAGTCAAACAACCCCTGAGAGTTCAATTTATTAAAGTATTTCATTTGAATGAATGTAGATAGCAAGCGATATTTGTTTTAAATTTCACAAACATGTTCAAAATAGTTCAATCATGATGATATTATTTACATGAGTGAAAATAAAATAATCACTTTCATAAATATATTTTCTATCTACAAGCAACCGAGTGACTCTGAGTTTTTTATGGGTTAAGGAAGAACATTTTTGACTTTTATGAGATTTTCTTATTTATTTTTTTATTTATTTATTTGCTTGTTTTCAAAAACATATTTGTTCAACATATTTTTTTTTTTATTTTGTTTGTATTCAAAAACACTCAAAATAACTTTTACATGTTTTGAGTATTTGCAAAAATAAATTTATTTTATTTTAACTTATTGAACACATTTTCCTTCAAATCAAAACACAAACAAAACAAAATAAAAATTAAAATAAAAAATTAAAATGAAAAATGATTCCAAACAGTCTCCTAAGGGTCGTTTAGGGTCACTTTTGAATTTTTATTTTTTATTTTTTATTTTTTTTGTGTTTTTTATATGTTTTTACTTCAAATAAATTATGTTATAAGATGCATAGTTGTTTTTAAGAACACTCAATATAAAATATAGGTGTTTTTAATGTTCTTAGAAATAATTTATTTTTTTTTATCTTGATTTGATAATTGTTAATTGTGAAAGTTTTATTCAGATGTAGAGCTAATGAAGGAGAGGTTTGCAAAGCTGCTTCTGGGTGAAGACATGTCAGGAGGTGGAAAAGGAGTCTCATCAGCTCTGGCTTTGTCCAACGCCATCACCAACCATGCTGGTATCATCTCCTTTCTTTAATCCAATAATAATAAATATATATATTATTTATTTATTGTTGTGTTCTTCATTTAGTAAATTTCAAAGAGGAGTATTTTATAAACAAAAAAATTTTATTTGGATCTTTCTGCATTTGTTTCAGCTTCTGTGTTTGGTGAACAAGAGCATTTGGAGCCTATGGCTGCTGAAAGAAAAGCAAGATGGAGGAGAGAAATTGATTGGCTTTTAGCTGTCACAGATCACATTGTAGAGTTAGTCCCTTCTCAGCAAGTTGGAGATGATGGAACCAAAATGGAGGTTGCAATTATTTATTTATGTATCTATCCTTATTTTCTTCAAGTAATTTTGCATAATTACCAAAAACTTCTCGTTTTCTTTCACCTTGTTTCGAAGATAATGACGACTCAACAACGCAGAGATCTCTTGATGAACATTCCGGCGTTGCGCAAACTAGATGCAATGCTCATTGTAAGATTTTTATCTCATTCTAATCCTTGTAAAAACTTCTTATTGCATAATTCTCAGTCACGAATCAATCACGAATCAATTGAACCCTCTACAAATCTATCAGGGCTATCTTGATGATTTTAAGGATCAAAACGAGTTCTGGTACGTCAAGGGAGACGAGGAAAGCTCGGAAAAATGGAATTTAGACAGAAAGGATGACAAGTGGTGGCTCCCTGCAGTAAAGGTTCCTCCAAATGGCCTCTCTGAAATATCCAGGAAATGGCTGCAATTTCAGAAAGAATCTGTAAACCAAGTTCTTAAGGCAGCCATGGCCATTAATGCTCAGGTTCTAATGGAAATGGAGATCCCTGAAGCTTACATTGATTCCCTCCCTAAGGTATCTGCTCTAATTTGAAAAGCCATGCTTGTATTTTCTAGGGGCATTTACATACACAACACACAATTCTAATGCATTTACATATCTCACACCTAAACTTTCTTCTAGCATGTTTTAAAAAATGCCATATTCTCATCATCTTCTCTATCATATTAGAATGGAAAGGCAAGCTTGGGAGAATTTCTATACCGAAGCATAACGGCCGAATTCTTCGATCCGGAGCAATTTCTCGCATCGATCGACTTGTCGACGGAGCACAGGGTCCTCGACCTTAAGAACCGCATCGAGGCGTCGGTTGTGATTTGGAAGAGGAAGATGCATAACAAAGATGGCAAGTCTTGGAGCTCAAGTGTTAGCTTGGAGAAGAGGGAGCAGTTTGAAGAGAGAGCTGAGACAATCCTTCGCCTCCTAAAGCACCGGTTTCCGGGCACCCCTCAGTCGGCTCTAGACATAAGCAAGATTCAATTTAACAAAGTAAGAAAGTTCCTCACTGCCCGAATACAAAAAAAAAAAAAAAAAAAAAAAAAAAAAAAAAAAATACCATATAAGTTACATACATAGCACATAATTCTTATGTATTTACGTAGCACTCAAATTTTTAATATCACATCAAACATGGCACTATACACCTTTAATGCATAGGTTTAAAGAACCTAAGTGCTACGTATGTAAATGTCAATATTTACGTGAGTTATGTAAATACATGAGTATTGTATGCTAGGTATGTAGATTTTCGTCCCTTTTTTGTTGGCATTTACAAACATACCTCCCAATTCCAATATATTTAAATAACTAACATCTAAACTTTAATTTTTACATATAAAGTGAAATGCACCTTATCATGCATAGATAAAAAGGCATTTAAGCTCATCACAACCAAAGTGTTATGTATATAAATATGAAAGTAGTGCACTTATCCTCGACATAATAATTGAGGGTGTAGTCTCCCATCGTAAGGTAATGAGTTTGAATCCTGCATATTGTTCTTTGGCTCACCTTTACACTATATATATATATATACAAATACATTAGAATTGTGTGCCAAGTATGTAAGTTTCCTTTTTTTGGTGGGCATTTACATACAAACCACCCAATTCCTATGTATTTACATATCTAACCCATAAACATTAATTTTTATATTTATACCACCCAAATCTTTCATATCACATAAAAAACACAACCATTTGAACTTTAAAAAAGTAAAATATATCTTTTCTTGCATAGATAAGATGGCATGAACATAAAAAATTAAAGTTTTAAGGTTCTACATATGTAAATAAAGTGAGGATATGTAAACATTCCTTGTCTTTCTTTTACTGATAATACTGTTCCATTGCCAAATTGTTATTTGAGGATGTGGGACAAGCTGTTCTTGAGAGCTATTCGAGGGTCCTCGAAAGCCTGGCGTACACGGTGATGTCCAGGATCGAAGATGTGTTATACGCAGATCAGCTCGCGCAGGATCCAATCGAGAAGCTATACAGTAGAAGCTCATCAAAGCTTAAAGAAGAGATGGAGAATGAGGATTCAGAGCAGCGAACCTCGATGACACTATCGGACTATATGGGTTGGCCTTTTGAGCAGGTCAATGGGAACGAGAAGACAGCGCCGGGTAACTTTGAGGATCTCTTCACCTCAGAAGAATCAGAGCTGAAGAAGCTTCCTAAGATTGTGACTCCAAAGAAGGTTTCTTATATAGAGAAGGTGGAGAATTTGGGAGGTTTACGAAGTCCGACTTCTCGCCATTAATGAGAACTATGAGCTTGAAGGAGGAAGAATGAGGCAAACTTGAAGTGAATGGGAGTGTGGGAGACAATAGTAGAGAAGAGAAGTTTTGGTTCAAATGTATATATATTTAAAAGAAGCCCAAGAGTGATTAGTAGAGCGTTGTTAACAGGATTTGTTCGTTGGATTTATTAAATCCACCCAAACATAAAAAACCACAAGTTACATGGATTTATTAAATTTTGGATTTAAGGTCCAAATTTTACCTTTGATTCATGTTAAATTCAGATTTAATAAATCCAATAAAGAGGTTGATTTAATAAATCTAGATTTACTAATGCTAACTCCGTCCTGCAGCCAACACTAAGGAGACAAGAACGCGGGAGAAAGTGACGAAACGTGAAAAAATTAGATTTAACGGAGCTTTAGATTTAATAATCATATTTTTTATGATTGGCTGGATTTAAGTTAAATTCATACCTAAATCTGGTTCATAATATGCTACCAAATGCTGCCTAAGAATTCCTCTATTCTCTTCTCTCTTCTCGTTTCACTTCTATCACTCAATGCCTAAGAATTCCTCTATTCTCTTCTCTCTTCTCTCTTCTCGTTTCACTTCTATCACTCAAATGTTTAGCTTATTGTAGTTATGAAAGTATAGAAGATTAGTTTTGATGTACTCTTAAGTGTTTCATTACTCTGTATAGTTTTATATAATCCTGATGTAGCATGAGGCAAATGACCTATGTTCTTTATTTCAAAATTATGAATGAGCAAATTGGAGAGATTTTTGTATGAGCTTAGAGACTTAAAAAATAAGAATATTAGAGGTTTCAGTTCTTTTTGAAGTACATCTATTTCTTGTAAGGTGTTGAACCTTGAAAAATAAATGGAAGATTTACATACATGCCGTTCAAGTCTTATCTATTTAGACATCTAACACCTCAACTTCAATTTTTATAATGTCACATTCCCAATGTAAAATCTTTATTTAACTCTTTAGAAGTTAAAATGATGTTATTTTATGCATGTCGCATTCCCAATGTAAAAGCTGTATTTAACTCTTTAGAAGTTAAAATGATGTTATTTTTGATGTGATAGAAAGATTTGGGTGGTATGAATGTAAAAGGTAGAGTTTAGGTATTAGATATGTAAATACATAGGAATTGGGTGGTATGTATGTAAATGCCACAAAAGGAATATGAATGGATTTATTAACTAAGCGCCTTGAACATTAAAGAATGAAGATGTATGCTTACACTGAATGATTTGAAGGCAAATTCTACATTAATAATATCATCATTTTCTGCTAACTTATTATTTGATATTGAGTTCAGTGTGAATGTATATGATCTTATAGGAGTTTTTCAGACAGCCTGATACAAGACATAGATTGACTAGCTTATGTTTCTTTTATGTTGGAGTCTATGTTCATAAATATATATATATATATATATAATTGCCGGAGGCTATTATAGAGTCTCAGCCATCCCTCATGCGCCTAAGAATTCGAATATCACATCCGGAATTGAACCTCAGACCAGAGGGGGCTTACAACTAACATGCAGATGTCTGACTAACTGATCTAAGTACCTAATGCATATATATTTGTGTGTGCGTGCACCCCGTGTGACAAGTTGGCTGAACAAGTTGGTTGGCAGCTATGTCGTAACTGCTCTTTAGCCCGAGTTCGATTCCCGTTGAGAAGGAACACACACCTTTAGAGATCGGTATTTCAAAATACCACCCTTCATATATATATATA